TCTGGCTGTGGTAGCCCTCCAGCTACCTCCTCCTGGAAGCTCTGCCCCCCCCCGATTCATGGCACCCCCTTCACATCAGCCTGACCACAGGTTTTTGAGCGGCAGCTGAAGGCCAAGTTCTCATGCACTTGGACTATTCCCTGAGCCCCTCAGTAGGGGCAGGGGGCGTCTTGAGGTTCTCTTCAGTCAGCCCTGCCTCAGCCTAAATGTCATGCCTTCTGCCAGCTGCCCTGCTCCCATAACAGGGAGGCCTCATTCCCAGCAGGATACCCCTGCCCCACGCCTGCCCCCAGGTCTCATCCAGCTGCAGGGACCACAGCCTCACTTCACCCAGCACTAGCCCATGGCTCTCCGGGGGGGGGGGCCTGCCTCGCCCTCCCCAGGCCCTGTCTCCTCTCCAGTGTTACTCAGGGAGCCCTGTGCCTCAGATTCCCCTCCTATGTGCAGGTCCCCCCGCTCCAGGTCAGTCCCCATCAAGTGGTGAGAGGTGTGAATAAAGGCGGTGTGAAGCCAAGCCTGGCCGGCTGCTGCTGCCGCCTTTGGGTATGAATTTGGGAGGTGGGAAGCGGGAGGTCCTGGGCAGGGGAGGGAGTGGCTTGTCTGGGGCCCTGGGCCGACCCCGGGGGCCGCTCAGCCCCACCTGGCTGGGAGCAGATGCTGCCAGTGCCCACTGCCCCTCCATGCCACTTGGTAGGACCCCAAGGTGGGAGTGAGCCCCCCAGAAGGGCCGCCTCGGTCATTCCCAGCTCTCTTCAGGGGGGTCTGGGGGCTGTGGGGGTGGGCTGCATTAGAGAGGAGACGCTTGCACCTTCATATGCCATGCTGTGGTGAGAAAAACATCTTTTGAGAAAAGCAACTTTGTTTCCCAGAGTTCCTGGGCAGGGGCTCTGATAACCCTTCTCTCCCCGAGTCCTGACCTTTAGAATAAGGACCTGAGTTTATGATTCCTGCTGTATAAATCCCCGGTTTGCTCCACCCCGCCCCCCCGGGACCTTTTCACATAACCACTTCGAGTTTAAACCCATGAAAAGTTGGTGCCCTCGGTCCCCGCCACCTTATGAGTAACAGGTGCTTGCTGCCCTGTGTGCTCTGGACCTGGGGCAGAGGACTGCCCTTCCCCCGGCTTCACGGCGCCCCCTGGCTTCTGGGACCTGAAATGATCAATCTTGTGACTACTTCCTTTGTGCGGATGTGCCCTCAGTCAAAACCCTGTGGGTTTCACTTTCCCAAAGCGGGAGCTGGATGACGGGGGCGCTGCCTGCCGCCCCTGCGTGGCTGGCTCGTGCCCCCTCAATCAGCACGTCACAGTCTGCATATTCTTAATTCAATACACCAGCTCTGGCGTCTCAGCACACAAGGGCCCCCACCTGCCCAGCAACCTCCTTTGACTCCTTCCCTCCCTCGAGGACACTGCTCTTCCAAACCCTGTCCTGGGCCTGTTCTCCGCAGAAGGGCTTAATGGCTATCTTCTGAGCAGGCACAGACCTGGTTATGTGGGTCTGAAGTGCGTACGATTTGAGGGGCACTTGACAAGAAAACAGTAAAAACATATATCTATATGAAAGTGAGTATTTTGAATGGAAAAAAAATCAGCAAACTGTTGGGGACTTGGAGATTCATGTCCCTCTTGACCAAGATCTCTGGGCAATTTACTAGGAACACTTTCCTAGAAATAATTCGTAATTACAACCTGGCTTCACTCCACTTAGAAAACTAAGTTAGTGGTTCTCAAAGTGCGGCCCTAACTGGCAGCATGTGGATGGCAGAAGGAAATGCAAATTCTTGCCCCCTTCCACCTCCTGAATCAGAAACTCTGTACACTGGAAAGTAACACAACATTGTACAGCAACTATGCTTCAATTAAAAAAAAAACTAGTGATGGGGACCTGCAGGTGAACAAAATCTCGGCCCCCAAGTGGGAGGGCCAACTGTTCCTCATGGTGCACTGAAGTGTGGCATACACGGGACACAGTAAAGCGTACAGTTTGATGTTTTGTGTAGTGAACCCTCATGTAGTCACCACCCCATGCAGGTGTTCTTGATCATATGCACGCCATTCCTTGGAGGCTCCTAAAAACCGAAAAAAGGAGTTGGCAAGGGTGTGTCAGTTTGGTTGCCTTTGGGGGCACACAGCCCCAACCCCAGCACACACTGACCTAAATCTAAACCGAGTCCCTGCTTTATTCACATGACTATCCAATCCTCTTAATCTTAGGACTTGGTCAGTAACTCCCTGCGTGCCTGCCCCTCCCCAGCCGCTGGTTTCCCTGGTAACTGATAAGCCAGCCTGATAACAATTCTGAATAGCAAAAACTGCTGCTATGTCCTGTGTGCCAACCGCCATGCACGGTGGGGTGTCTCTCCAGGATGTTGCTTCGGACATGTAAGACTCCCCTACCCAACACATTGTTGACATCTCTGTCACTGTCTCAGGGGCTATTTCTTCGGCCTCAAGGTGGGGCAATTACAGGGCTCACAGGCCTGTGGGATGCAGCCCAACAACTGGAGAGCCAACCAGGAAGCCACGGAAACTCCCCTGAGCGCCAAGATGTCAGGGAACAAGGATGGGGAATGGAAGGTTGCAGGGGAATTCGAGGTGGCCGCGCAGTCGCGTGTGGGGCCCTGTGGTGACTGTCCTTGATGAATGGGGGCCACCAAGAGACTACAGAGAATCCATAGACAGCCCGGGTGTTGTGGAGGAGTTGGGTGCCATTACTGGGGGTAAAAGGAAGCCAGACGGTGAGGCAGCGGCGGCAGCCGTGGGCCTCCTGCTGGCACAGCGGAAGGGGAGGTAGCTTCCCCAACAGAGAGGCTGGAGAGTCGTGGCGCATCCAGATTGGAACCCCAAGGTGTGGGACCCTACCGACAGCACTGAGAAAGAAGAGGTAGAAGATGGGGAGAAGGTCCTAGCGGACCCTGTCTCACAGGATACAGATGAAGAGCAGCTCCCTCGCCCAGTGCAGAGGCAGCTAACCACTGTGAGTCTCTCTCTTCCATCATGTTGTTGGTACTCTGTTAACCTCAGAGTCGCTTTCCAGTTTAAAAGCAGTAGCCCCGGTGGTATCCTCTGTGGCTCGTGGCTCATCTGGCTGCACAGGGATGGCTGGTAAATGCAGACAAAACGCAAGGGCCCGGATTATCTGTCAAATACTTGGGTGTTATCTTGTTGGATAAGACAAAAGTGGTGTCCTCAGCAGTGACCGGCAAAATACAAGCTACCCCCGACCCACCACCCCTAAACGATTACAAACATGTCTAGGGCTTTTGGACTATTGGAAGCCTTTTATCCTGCATCTGGTCCAGCCAAACTTTGCAAGCTTCGTACAGCTTTGGAAAGAAGCAGGGTACCAGGATTGGGCATGGAGAGTAAGACGCCTTCACCCAAGCCAAGGTGGCTGTTAAGCAGAGTCAGGCGTCAGGGATACTGACTCAGGGACAGGCTTGTACATTGGACGTGGCTAGTTACCTGGAAGCGTTAGGCTGGGGACTGTGGCATTGGCAAAATAACAAGTAGCTTTGGGCTTCCAGTCCCAATTATGGAAGGGGACAGATTAACAATATAGTGTGATGGAACAAGAGCTATGTGCAATCTACGATGCTTTACGGCAGGTGAAAGACATTACCAAAGGCAGCCTGGTGACTGTATGTGCTCAGTATCCCATAGCTGGATACTTTCTGGAAGGCCTAGTCCAGGCACGCACAAGTCCAGCCGTAGCTAAGTGGCATGCCTGTTTAAGTCAACGTAGCACTTTATCTATTAGCTCCTTGAGTGCAGAGTTACACACTGTCTTAAGCCCGGTTACCTACACCGCT